GGGAATGTCCCGAGTGCTGTGATGTCGGTTCTTGAATCAAATCAAATCATTACACCTATACATCTCTTGCATCCTATCTTTATATTTGTCAAAACATGTTGTTTCGCATCCGTTATCTCCAAACTAATGTGTGTGCGGTTGTGTGTATGTATGTGTGTGGGCGTGTGAAAGCCAGAACGTGCTTACACGAATGCACAGTTGGCTAAGCCTTAAGCAGCGAACAAAAATAAACCGTTATCTTGCTTCCGTGGTTTTCAACAGTGTGTGTTTCCTGCGACATGTACAGTGATACTTGACAAGCTGTCCCTTAACGTTTTTTTTTAAATTCTTCCTTCGAGCGGATACCTGGTAGTTTGACCACCACTGCAACAACTGCTGGCTGAATGGCAGTCCAACAAGGCAAATTCTAGATACTTCGTTCAATCTCCGGGTAAGTTATAATTAGGGCCCTTACCGGCTACAACCTGTTCTGCTGTATGGCAGCGAATCTTGGTATGTAAATGAACAAATTAGGAAGCATTTGAAGCAACAGAGATGTGGTTTCTGAGACGATTGTTACTAACAAGTATTGTTTGAAAGAAGCTAATGAAAGTGGATCTCTATATTCAACAATAAGAAAGAGACAAACACTGTTCTTTGGCCACATATTGAGAAGGGGGCCGTTGGAGAACATCGTGACAACTGGTAGGATCAATTAGAAAAAGGGGGTATAGGCAGACCAAGAGAGATGATGCTGGATGGGCTGAAACGATGGCCTTAGAGGGATATCATCAAGAGAGCTGTTCCAGGCAACCAGGGATCGTGATCTGTGGAGACGCATAAGCGCCTACGCCAGTTGGCAGGGCACATGATGATGATGACCGGCTACATCAAGTAGTACCCTAATGCAATCTAAAGCAGTAGACGAGTAAGAAGCGTAGTCTGGAGCTCTCGAGTACTAATAGATTCCTTCTTCTTCTTGTGTCGTCTTACTGCTACCATGTTGTAGTCCCCTGATGACTGACTGACTGACTTTCTACCCCACCAGGACATCACACAAGCGATAAACACCCGATGACACAAAGTGCCACCATGCGGATGAGGATCGCCGTGGAGAGGTCCCAGAAACCGCGTTCAGACATTTGGCCATATGTATGGCCTGCCTATATTGCGGCCCCTGGCAAAAGCCAGAGTAGGGCTTCAAATGACAAAAAATTTCGTCCTAAAAAGGACGAAAATTAATCTCTGTAGTCCCCTGATTCCTGGGGCCAGTTTAAATATTTTGAGGCTTGCCCATTATTTGTCATTATTATTTGTATTAGTCTGACATAGTGCAGCCTTATGTAATCTTGCGCGTATAACTACTGCTATGTTGTAATTGCTGCTCTCCCCCCCCCCCCCCCCCCCCAATCTAATGTGTCTTAGGTGGCTCAATGTGCTTGCACTCCCAGATTTCTTCGCCCTTGGAAGAGAGGTAGGTGGAGACAAAGAAATGCGAATGTAGACAGTTTGGCACCACGGCAGAGAGAACGTCTGTACACAAGACAGACAACTATAAACATACATGACTGTTTTTTTTTGTTAAAAATATTTTTTACACAGGACGGTCGTTTAGAAGAAGCATATAAATCAACCAGCCAACTACTATAATACTGTAATTGCCCATTATAAATTTCAACACGTGTCTTGTTCCCAAACGACGTCACGACGGTGAAATACAATTGTCTCTGCAGTCAATTAGACACGATTATGAGACGGGCTTGAATTGTGTGCTCGTGGTTTCTGTAATTATATCAAACACAAGCTTGACTTGTTGACGTGTAGTTTGTGCACTGATATCACACGTTTACAATTCTTGATTATTCTGTGGTGTTTTCTTAAACGCAATCCATATTTTAACAAGCAGTTTAAAGTTCTAGATTTTGCTTGGCTGCTCTGCGTGATGCCTGATTGTGGATTTTTTTTAATTGTTAACTTATGTCAGTGTTTGGTGGATACAAAAACTACTTGTAGTAGTAGTAGTAGTAGTAGTAGTAGTAGTAGTAGTAGTAGTAGTAGTAGTAGTAGTAGTAGTAGTAGTAGTTGTTGTTGTTGTTGTTGTTGTTGTTGTAGAATTTAGTAGCAGTAGTAGTTGTTGTAGTAGTAGTAGCAGTAATAGTAGTAGCAGTAGTAGTAGTAGCAGCAGCAGCAGTAGTAGTAGTAGTAGTAGTAGTAGTTGTTGTTGTTGTTGTAGAAGATAGTAGCAGTAGTAGTTGTTGTAGTAGTAGTAGCAGCAGCAGTAGTAATTAGTAGCAGTAGTAGTAGTAGTAGTAGTAGTAGTAGTAGTAGTAGTAGTAGTAGTAGTAGTAGTAGTAGTAGTAGTAGTAGTAGTAGTAGTAGTAGTAGTAGTAGTAGTAGTAGTAGTAGTAGTAGTAGTAGTAGTAGTAGTAACTGATGTTGTTGAAGAAGTTAGTAGCAGTAGTAGTAGTTAGTAGTAGTAGCAGTAGTAGTAGTTAGTAGTAGTAGTAGTAGCAGCAGCAGCAGCAGCAGCTGCAGCAGCAGCAGCAACAGTAAAAGCAGTAGTAGTAGCAGCAGCAGCACCAGCAGTAGAAGTATATTTTGTATTATGACTTGGATGCACAATCTCATTATCTTTCCATACACTGGATATTCATTGTTCACTTTGTGCTATTTAATATTATTTTCCTATAACGGTGACGTTAACACTGAGCTATCCCTCTATGTGAAGAAGTTTTTTTTCACGATGCTGATGATTTTTTTGTTTATTTACATGTTTTTGCATTAAAAAAATATTTATACCTCATACAGCAATTTGGTGCTTTATTAATATCCTACCCCGAACAGGGGAAATCCACAGGTCACGGGACAATCTAATATTTCAGGGTGTGGTAGGCTGCATGCAGTTGTGGGACCTAGGCTGCGTGCATTCGTGGGACCTAGTCTGCACTAGTGGGACAGGTGGGTTGCGGTTAGGGCCAGTTCTAGATGTTTTGGGGTCGTTAAAAGCATCAGCAAGCCGGGAAACCCAGTCCTACCACCCCCTAAATTGCAGGACTGTCCTGTGACGTCATCTGGGGTAGGATATTAATTAAGAACCAGCAATTTTTGCTACTGCGAACTTGTGTTTCTCTGGGCGCCACTCGAAGGAGGAAAGGCAAGACGAGTAGTTAACCATATGACATCGAGAATAATCAACAACGGAGACTCTTCCCTGTCTGCTGAGGAGGGAGACTGTGCTGATAGGGGATTGTTTTGAATGCTGTGGTGTCCAATCTTTACCCTGATGAACACAAATGTTTCTGTGAAACATTTTAAAAAAATTGTTTAACTTAAATGGGATATTTACACTGTGTCACTAATCTATTCCTCGGTGTCGTCCTCATACACCACCTCTGCTGTTAAGCGGCGTCGGGAGGAATAATTTGCGATCCTGTGCACTATCATTGTGGCTATCATTAGTGAAGGCGTAAAGTGTCTTTAATGTTATCCATCCATGTTTTTCGTGGTCGGCCTCTCACTCTTGTAGCTGAATTTCTGAGATGTTGCATTCTACACGAGATGGCCATTTGATTTGCTGTTTCTTGTTGAATCTAGTACGAGTTGTCGTACCCACAATCGTTCTGATAGTTTAATTCTTCACTCGATCTCGAATGGTTAGGAAGGCAGTTGTTCTCAATCATCTCATCTCGCAAGTGAGTTTTTGCGTACATGGGCTTTAGATAATGTCAATGTTTGGCACTGGTAGCTCTGTGTTGGACTGAATACGCTATTTATATCAATCTGTTGGTAGATGTAAAGTGATTTTCAGTTAATATTACTATTCTTCTTCTTCTTCTTCTTCTTCTTCGCGTTCACCAGCTGTACACTCTGGAGGAAAGTTTTGGTTGCTCGTCCATTACTGAACTGCACGCCTGCTCCAGAACCTGAGTGTTGCGTGTGCATCAGTTTTACAGATCTCATTCTCTTGAATACAGACTGTTGGTTCCTTGCCTCAATTATTATTCTTTTTTTTTTTTTTTTGTATACGAAGTCCCCAGTCAAAAATGTTTGCCAGGTAATGTCATGGGAAGCAAAGTCGGTCTGCGAGATGTTGACCCAATCGCTAAGTGAGTGCCGATTGTTGTCCCTCAAACATGAGTCTAGCATCATATACCAACTGAGCCATCAGCGTAATAAGAGATCTTTAACTATTTCTTTTTCTTCTTCTCCACCCCCCCCCCCCCCCCCCCACACTAGGACCACATACTGAGCGGTTAAGACCTGGTGACCCAAAGAGACACTGTTCGGATGAGAAGTCTTCAGATCCAAATCCAAAAAAATTGCGTTTAATCGGTGTCCCCGGCTGTTACAAAGCCACCTGAACGGACAGAGAACGATGCTGTGCCCCCCCCCCCCCCCCAAGCTGGTCTTCCATGTCCAGTTTGCGACTTAGTGTTTGAAGGTCTGTAGGCAGAACCGGATCTTTTTTTTGTTTTCACCCCCACTGTAATAGTACTAGTAGACACCGTGGTGACTAACGGTATCTTTTTATAAATTTTTCGTGTGTATCGGAACATTCTCTAGACGAAAGTCCTGCACACACACACTCACGCATATATATATATATATATATATATATATATATATATATATATATATATATATATATATATATATATATATATATTTCCAGCCTTGTCTCATAGTATACACCTATTAAATTCTCTTGTGCACGACGTTTTTATCTCTCTGTTATGACATTCTCTCTTTATACACCAATAATCGTAGTTTATTATCCATCTTAATGCCAGTACTTAATGATGCTTATGAATTTCACTTTTACTCCTCGATATTTACTATTTGCTTCTTATTATCGTTGAAAGAATATAACTAAAAAAAAAAAAAAAAAACGCAATGCGCTGATAACGAACTACTACAGCAGAAGACAAAGTGCCCCGCCCCCTAAGGGAATGAACCCATCGAAGAAGTACGGAAGTTTGCTGGGTGCTGTCCCCTTCACCAGCAAGCAACAGGACATCACCATGGAGGGAGGCGGCGACACAGAGCCGGTACAACCTCAACCTCACTCCATCACTTTCGCAGATTTAGGCATCCCTATGACTGAAAATCTACAAGATACCTTGCTGGGAAAGGTTTGTGGGTTTACATTGTTTCTACCTACGATTGTGTATGATGTTCATTGTGAAATTGGTCTATTTACTTTTTACTTTCTTTTTACTTTACTTTCTAGTCACATGACTCGAAATTTCGTAGTAGTGTTTAGTATAGTAATATTATTAATAATTGTAATGTAAAGTTTAGTATAGGACCATTTTTAGTATAGGACTTTTCAATAAGAGCATGGAACACAGATTTTTTTTGTTATTTAAAAGTCCTATAATGAATGTTGTCAGGGGCCCTAATATAATCAAAGAGTTGAACTGAGTTTCTGAGACTTGCGCCTAGGGAATTCTCCTTCTAGTGTTGGCACTTTGTGTCACCGGGTGTTAGTCGCTCGTTGTGTTGGTCGTCAGTTAAGAATTCAGGCGTATTGTGCATTTAGGGCTAGACCTATATTTTATAGACCACTCCTCACTTGGTGAGCGACGTGGTCAACATCACACTTTGTTGGCTCTCCTTTCAACTACGGCCGGTAGACAACAGGAGACCGCCGGTTAGTCGAAGTTCTGTCCCCTGGCTGCAGTGCAATTACAGACTGGAGAAGGCACGAATCAGAAAACAAAGTGAGGTCGACATGCCTGGCAGCGACTCAAATTAGCGACCGCGTTCAATTACCGCTTCTTGCGATGCATTACGGAGTGGATTAGAGGGAACAAAACAAGTGACATAATTACTGTGTGTTGGCGATAGACAGCGTGCAGTGCCCTACTGTCATCATACTGTTAGGGTTTGGGTTAGGTTTAGGGTTTGGGTTAGGTTTAGGGTTTGGGTTAGGTTTAGGGTTAGGTTTAGGGTTTTGGTTAGGTTTAGGGTTTGGGTTGCTACTTTGAGTTTGTGCAAAGATGAGATGCGGCGACACTAACCGTAACCCTAACCCACACCCTAACCCTAAACCAAACCCTAACCCTAACCCAAACCCTAAGCGTATGTTTATAGCAGGGCAGTGCACGCTGTCTATCGCCAACACACAGTAATTATGTCATTTGTTTCGTTTCCTGCTGTCCAGTCCGAAATTGCACTGCAGCCAGGGGACAGAACTCCAAGTAACCGGTCATCTACTGTTGTCTACCGGCCGTAGTTGAAAGGAGAGCCTACTTTTTTACTAGTACTGTAATATATGTTTTTTGTGGGGGATCAGTACCAACACCTTTTAAAATAAACGTTATAGTGAGTACCAGTACCCTTTTGGGCATTTTCTTTTCACCACCATTGTAATATGGACTCTGTGGTCAGTACCGGCACCTTTTGTCTAGATAAAAATAAAAATGATAATCATCGTGATGATATCCTCAATAGTTACACTCACCATTGCCGTAGGCTGTGATCCCATGCTCCCAATAACACAATATAACTCTATCATCTGGAAAGACGGAGGTTAAAAAAAAAAAAAGCAACAACAATATTCCTGCCACTATGTGGTTGCCCAAGTCGATCTCCGACACTTAGAGCTGGTCTTATATATATAAATATATATATATATGTTGACATTCAGGCAGGACTAGTAATTATTTGGCTGTGTGGCAAACAGGATGTATTTTCATATCCATTCACTCACCACTCCAACACACCCCTATCTTGTGATCTTCATCAACAAAAACCAGTTCATGTGCTAAAACTTTTCCATTCCATTACAAAAGGGTTGTCCAGAATCTTCCTTCATTGCCATCTTTTAGCTCTTACAATTAAAAAAACCATTCTGTCATGAACTTGATATTGTTTGTTTAACTATGTGAGCCACTACTATAGGGGCTGGTTGCACGTCTACTAGCTCTGAAGACTTAGGTTTGAATCCGCACATGTGGATTTTGGGAAATAAAATTGACTTTTGGCTCCCAGGTTGGCCCTACCTAAAATGGGTGCAATGCAATGTCCTAGGAGATAAATTCGGTAAGCTTGACATCGACAACATCACCCGTTGAATGCTGTTTAGTCTATAAAAAAATACGAGCCTAGCATCATATGCTGATAGGCTGGGAGGCTAACATAGTGAACAAAGGCCTGATAAAGTCAGATGTGTCGGTTGAAATAACACAGCTATGCTGTAAACAGGCAAAACAAAATGGCCTCTTTCACCCAAATGATGCAAAAGTTATACTGAGACTCTACAGGTGTAAAAAAAAAAAAAAAGGCCATATTAATAATAATAATAATGGACATCAGCTCTTTGAAGCTCCAACATCATAGCAAGTGGGTCATCCATCAGTTGCTCAGTTTTGGTGCCAATGAAGAAAAAAGTGCCAACATGGCAGAAAGAGTCCATCACTAGAAACGCAGTTTATTGTCAATAGAATCAGCAGTTACAGCAGATCAGTAGTTCCACATGCAAATGATCGTATAAGGCACCACATGTTCTCTGACAACACGCCACTCCACGTTTTCTGAATCTGCAATTCACAGCACAAGTCCAAAAGCATTCCAAATGAAATGTGCAGCTCAGAGTGTTGTGCCGTGCACTCAACTCAGTAGCTGAGTGATGGAACTGAATTCTTTCAGTTCAGATATGGAGCTCAATGCAACAGCTAACTTTCAACAACTAAAACAGTAAACCTGCCTATCCACCAAATTGATTGGAAGCCTATATATGTGTGTGTGTATTAATACGCATCTCTGCAGCTATACCTTGTTGAAAAGATTGACATATTTACTTCTGTTAACCACATCAGCCATTCATTGCTGACAAGCCTATAAAAATACAGTTTCTACTAGGGCTGTACCGAATATTCACTTCGTATTCGCTTCGGGGCCGAATAGTGGACCTAATAACTGTTCGGTATTCGGCCGAATAGTTGCGGTCGGGCCGAATACGAATAGTGGTTACCTTACTCCCGTTTCTGCATACACTGTGATGGACTGAAATAACTCTCTCATTAACACAATAGTTTCTGTTGCCTTAATCTGTCGTAGCGGGGGAAACTGCGACCCAGTTGCGTGGTACAAACTGCATAAAATGCCAACCACAGTGTGTGTGTGTGTGTGCGTGCGTGTGTGAGTGTGTGTCTGTGTGTGTGAGAGAGAAAGAGGGAGAAAGAGAGAGATCATGCATTTTTAGTTTTTTTTTTTTCAGGGTGTCTACACCTAAATCAAATTTGAAGATATTGCTAACGAGAATATGAAGGTGCGTTTAAATTACATCGAACGAACGGCTGAGCGAACGATGGTTTTGAAAGAGGCGGGAGCCCGAAGACAACTAATCACAGACATTAGAAGGAGATAGTCGTCATTTTTCAGCCATGTTATGAGAAGGGGGAAAATGGAACATTTGGTGACCACTGGAAAGATCTGTTGAAGGAGGGATAGAGGAAAACAACGATAGAAGATTCTTGACAGTCTTGTTGCAAAGTATTGAGGTGTGTCAGCACACGAATTGATACATACTGCAGGAGATAGCAGATTGTGGAGAGGCATGATCGCAAGTCACCTGATGATGATGATACACTATTCGTATTTGTATTCGGCCGAATAGTTGGTCCCACTATTCGTATTCGGCAGAATAGTGAAAATCACTATTCGGTACAGCCCTATTTTCTACCATCATATGTGTGATACACCACTGGAGTGAATAGTGTCCTTCATATTTTACTTTAAGGAAAAGGTCAAGGACCCTTTTCCACGTCTTTCAGGCGTATTGGGCATATAGGGCTAGACCTTTTCTTTATAGACGAATTGGCACTCAGTGGGGGATGTGGTCAGCATCGCACTGGTCACCTTTACTTTCCAGGACTGAACCTGGTATACCCACTCAAGGCTGAGTGGATCTGGGAGCCAAGGTCATTTTGTTGAGAAAAGGCGGGCAGACATAATGCTGTCTACATCACCTATTTATTGCTGACAGGTCTGTACAATTCAAGTTTCTGACATCATACGCCTGATACCCACTGGAGGAAAAAGAGCCCTTCATATTTTTACTTTACTTCATACTAATTATTTTGTTACTCATTATTGAAAGAATCTAACTAATGTAAAACTTTTTAATACAAGTTCCAAGGAATCAAAAAATAAGTTCACATTAAAAAAAAAAAATAGTACTAGCCGGTGACTAATAATAATAATAATAATACATCCCCAATGGGATCAACACAGAACAAGGGGAAGATTACACAAGAGATGGAGCAACATCATCAGGAGCAACCTAACAGAAATGAACACCATTTTGTACAATGCATTGAAAGAAGCTCACAAAGGATCCTTATATCCCCCCCCCCCCTTCCCCACCCCACAAACACCTTATAAGGTAAAAAGTGAAAGAGAAGAAGAAGAATGGGATCAAAATGTTGTTTTCACATTAACTGAGTGTTCTTCTTAACTCTTTCAGTCCCAAGCAGTTTTACTTTAACCCTTTCTGCCCAAGAGTGTTTAACCTAAAAGCAGTCAATACTTTTGCCCTGATTAGTTCAACATAGACACTGTGAGACAAGACAAGATGTTAAACTAGTAATCTAGACAATAAGGCTTGATCTAACATTCTTCAGTGATGTAAGACAACTTATCTGATTTTTAAACACATGATGACTTGTTTGGCACCAAACGAGTTGAGCGAATTTGTGGTAACTCTTTTAGTCCCAGCTGGCTTAGCATCAGGAGCCCAAGGGGTAGTACAGAGAAACGTAAAATTGACACATTGGGCTTCTAAGTAGGAACCTATGAATGTATAATGTGTTCCTTGAGGTTAAAAAAGTTAATGAGGTTTTATTGTAATAGAATATTGTGAAATAAATGTTAAAAATAATTTCGTATCAGTTGTATGCCAGATTTGCAAGTTTGAAACAATGTGTAACTTCAAATAGGCTCGTCCACTGAGTGATATCACATGGAAGGAGAGAATTTATGCAGCACTAATGTTGGTGTCCATTGTTGGAGCAGCGGTCATGACCATAATTCGTCTTACAGTTATAACCACTGACGACCCAGACTTCACCTTTTGCCTTGTCTTATTGCTCAATGCAGGTAGGCTCAATTAACTTTGGTTTATGTTTTCTAGTATCTGTTTTATGTTGAATTATGACATGTATATTATTTATTGTTCATTATATATTTTGCCAGCTTGGATATATGTCTTCTTTTGACTAATCAGTTTTGCTCAGTTGCTTACAGGTTTAAATCAGTTTTTCAAATTTGTATGTATTGTTTTAATACACTGACAATGAGGTACTGGAAAGAGCAGTTAACACAACGGTTTTCTAAATGCTCAGTCTCCGAAGGCTCAGATGGCTTGGTCATGCTTGGAGAATGGAGGGTGGTAGAGTCCCTAAGGACATCCTGTATAGTGAATTACAGATGGGTAGATGATGGCAAGGTTGGCCACTACTATGATTTAACCCTACCAGACCTGACGCCCTTACTGTCCCTATAACCTGAACTCCTGGGCACTAACACGCAAAAAACCAACATGATGTACAAAACAGTTAGTTACATGCAAACAAGTGGTTAGAATAAGATAAAACTTGGAGACATTATAGAAAATAGGTTTACCTTTCATCTAGCGCCAATCTTCCCCCCCTTTGTGTGCCAATCCACCTAGTAGGATCAGCCTTGATTCGCAAAGTAAGCACCAGATGTTTCTGTTTGAGGGACATGCCCCTTTCTCTTACTATCGATCTAGTTTTAAATCTATAATTTTCATAATTCTCCTCCTCACTCTAGCTCTAACTGACTGTGTCACTTCAACTGGGAACGTATTCTTTATGAACGTATTCACAGTCTGAATTAACCAAAGTCACTTTCTTGTCGAAGCCGCTGGTTTCATTGAGAATTTTCCGAATTTTTTTTTACATCAAACCACACAAAAAAATCTCAACACACATCGGAAGTCAATCGCAATGAATAGCAATGAAGTCTGATGGCGATTGGCTGGTTATTTTTAGTCTGTGACGCATATTTGTCACGTACTACTTAAATTCCCAGAAAAGTGGGCCAGCCGTTTAGCGGCTGGTTAGGAAATTCCTGGAAAATCGGGCCAGCGGTCTGGTAGGGTTAAAGATGTGCGTAAGTGGACATGAATGATACAGATACTGGGGTAGATTCATGGGAGCAAAATGCCAAAGACGTGATGTGTGGAGGGGGAAAAATCAGGAAGGAAGTGGCGAAAAATGAAAATATTATTGCAGTTAGGCTGAGAACTGGGCGTCTGAGAAGAAGCTTATGATGGCAAAACTATGATATAATTGTGGAAAACCTTTCTTATCACGAGCGAGTCATGCTTGCTATATTCACCGTTGCCATGGGCTCTGATTACCAAACCGTACCTCATAGCACAATATAACACTGTCGTCTGGAGACGTAAAAGGTGCCCAAAAAAAACCCCAGTGTATTTTATCATTTAATAAATTCAATCAACTTGTATATGCATGTTTAGACTTCATGCATGAATAAACACTGAGGCCTGAGACTTTGTCCGTCTAGACCCAGTGAACAGAGATAAAGCGAGTCACCATGATTCGACTTTAAGCCCTCAGTATAACCGGCGAGCTAACCGTGTACCTCGAGGTGAAAGCTCGGTCACACAGGATAAACTTGGCTCATGGTGACTCTCGCTTCACCTCTGTCTACACTCTCTGCTCTCCTCCAGGTTGTTCACATCCACCTTTTTTTTCCATCTGCCATTTGTCAAAGAGCCTGTCCTTGCTGAAGTGTCAGGAGGCATTGTGTAAACAGGCCCACGCCATCTTCATCTTCCTCCTTCAGCAATGTTTGCCATTGGTGAACAATTTGTTTTCCCCCCATCAGCTCTGCATTTGTGATCTTGTTTTGTCAAAATATTCACAAGATTCTCTGAAGACATCCATTTGAACAAGTAGGTAGTTTATCATTCCTGCTGTTATTTTCAAGTATTTTCTGCATAACAGCACCTCTTGCACAATCTGAGTTTTTGTCTTCAGACCATGTACCATTTAGCATGGCAAGTTCTTGGCTTACTTTGTCCACTCTTGATGCTACATCCTTTCCAGAATCCCCATCTTTGTGTGTTGGATATGAATTTCTGTACATATAGATTACTCTGACATGCAGTGTTTGTCATCTGCAGTGTTCTGTGTCTGGTTTGTTATTGAGGGAGTGTTGAGGGAGAGGCCATCAGAGCTGTTCATCCTAACATTTGCCACCATCATCATCATGGTCTACCTCATTGTCAACTACGCCACTGGGCAGCAGAACGACGTCAAACTGGTCAGTCAAATAAAATCTCTTGATTGATATATAAGGAACTAATCATTGCCAGTTACGTCATTACCCTAACACATAATGGTACCATTTTTAAAAAAAATATTAAAACCTCATTCCAGCTCACTTCAGGTTGCTTTGTAACCGTAGTCAGGGGGCCCTGATATAACCTCATGGCTGAACAGGGTTTCTGGGAGGTAAGCCTGGGGGAGTCTCATTCGGATGGTGGCACTTTGTGTCACTGTGTGTTAATCGCTCATTGTGCAGTCGGGGGAAGGGGGGGGGGGGGTTAAACATCACCACTTACTCAACTACATCACCGGTCAGCAGAGAGAACAAGTAATCTTCTTGATAAATAAAGTGAAGGAAACCTTCTCTTGTTATGAAGTGCAGTTAGTATAGGATGTGCTAGCCCCATATCATTATCATATGCTTTCCATTTGTTGGTTCTGGTGCCCAATTTTAGGATAGCGAAGTTGGTTAAAACTGACTTTCGCGGCGGCAGGGTGACGAACTCCTTGTGGTCCGGGTTCACTCCCGGGGGTAGGCAGAAAAGCCACATTTCTCCCAGATTAACGGTACCTATAATGGAATCAATGCCGAAGGGTTGCGATATCCATAGTACCGAGCCAAAGGGTTTACAACTCATGGTTTCTGGATACGTTAAAAAAAAAAAAAAAAAAAAAAAAAAAGGGGGGAGAGAACAAAAAGAAAAGACCCACTGCCTCCATAACAAGCATACCATACAAGGGGACTGGTTAGGGTGGTTTCCTTTGAAGTATGAGTGCATTTACCTGAGCGGCAAGGAACCAACAGTCTGCATACAAATAAGCCAGCTCTGTAAAATTGTTGTGTACGCAGAATTCAAGTTCTGGAGGGGAAAAAACCAAAGTTCAGAAGTGGACAGACAATCAGAACTTTCTGTTGGAGTATACAGCTGGTTAATGTGAAGAAGAAAAAACTCACATAGACTGCTGTGATATCCATCTATCCTTGAGAATATGGCTTTTAAGCTGAAATGCTATAGACATATTCTCAAAGTACCAAGGTCAAAGAAATACTGACATTTTAAAAGATCTTAACATCAAGGAAGATTGGGTAATAAACAGCAACCTGTATTGGAAACTGACATATTTGGGCCATATTAAGCGTCACTGTAGATTGGAAAAAATAATAGCAAAAGGCATGGTACCAGGAAAGAGAGGCAGGGGCTGGCCAATATGTAGACAGGCACAAGATATCAGTGCCACTTTGGATAGAAAAGTGTATGTCTGGCGAGGGACCAAGTTTCTTTCAGGCAGGTTGTCTGCCTCTTGCTCATAAGCTTTTATTTCTCCCTCCAGTATGGTTTTTGTCAAATTGTTTTTGTTTTTTAATGTATCTAGACTTAGTTAATTTGTTAGTTAGTTAATCAACAGATTACCCTCACTGCTCATGAGATAAGTTCATAAGAGCTCGGATCCCATCTTTGTTTGTTATATCCCTCTTCATGTGGCAACTGATAATACCATTTGTTTGTTGGTTTACTATTCTTCTTTGGCTACCTGTTCATGTTTGACCTGAAGTTCTTGTAGTCTTTTGAGTGTTGCCGATTCTTCGTCATCTCCTGAATCATCTTGTTGTCCTGCCTCTTTGAAAGCTTTGAGAATATCGGCCCTGTCCTTTGCTTTTTTAGTGTATCTAAAGAATGTCACTGGTGTCTTTTTATTTCTTTGTTCAGTTTTTTTTTTTTAAATTATTCTCATTTTGTCACTGTATGTGATTGTTTTATTAATAAATATAAAATATGTTTTATTAATAAATATAAAACATCTTGTAAATTTAGAACATCATTTATTTAACAAAATATAGAGCATGTTTTGTTAATAAGTGAAGAAAATTTTGTAATAATAAATATAGTATGTATTGTTTTGTATAAAACATCGTTTATTAACTCTTTTAGTCCCAGAGGGTTTAGCATCACAGGCCCAAGGGGTAGTCAAAAGAGACTAAAATCGGCGTATCTTGCGTTCAGTGGGCTTCTAGGCAGTAACCTATGACTGTATGATGCGTTCCTTGGGACTCAAAGAGTTAATAAATATAGAGCATGTTTTATTAATAAGGGAAGAACATGTTTTATTTTTAAAAATATAGTATTTGTTTTGTTAATAAATATAGAAGATCTTTTATTTTAAAAATGTACAGCTCATTTTATTAATAAGTGAGGGACATGTCTTCTTGATAAATATATGATGTGTTTTATAATTAAATGGTCAACATTTATTCAAACAAACTCTAATCAGTATTGAAAATCTGGCACTACCTTGGCAGGCTCGGCTGGTGATTGCTTGTATTTTCTGCCCTGTTTTGGTGATTCTGGGATTGATCATCGCCTGGGAGTATCACGCATCCAAGAGATTGATCTTCCGAACCGTGGGAGCCAATGAAATGCTGCAAACCTTGTACCGGAATCTTTGGTGTTTCAAGATTTTCTCAAGTTTGATCTTCAGTTGGGGGTAAGATCTGGCAAGTTCATGCAATTTTCTTATTTCTTATGCAATGATGTGCTTGGATACTGTGGTCACATCAAAAGAGAAAACATCCTGTTCAAAGCAAACCATGATTAAAGACAAGTGAAAGATAAGAAGTTAAAGATATAAATTGACAAATATTTAGAATGGGATTAGGATACAGGTAAGCCACGAGACCATCTTCTTCTTCCCGTAATTCTTCCTTGACTTCTGCTGGAAGAGACTAGGTTTCATAGGCTTATCCACAGGGTGTCTCGTAAGTTTCCATAGGTAGGAAAAATAAACCTATCACCAACACCATTCCAGGCATAACTCCAGCTTCGCTCGCTTTAACATGTTTTTCAGCAGTAAAGAACACCAAAGTTTTTTCAGAATAATCGTAGTCATGCAGAGCAAATTATATGAATAAAAATGGTTTTCATAACAAGATGTTTATTCTTCCTATGTATGGAAACTTATGGGACACCATGTAGAATTTAAACCTGTTGCCCTTGGAAGACCAAGTCTAATCACTTCCGTTTCTGACACAGTAAATGCTGATATACTGGCCTGTCTAGAGTGACCTGTTCTCGAAAAATATAGTTAACTTCCACTGGTTCTGTGTGCTTCTGCGCAGTGTTTAATAGGCCAGTATGCCTCAGTGATAGAGGTCACGAGGTCGTTGCATGAGTCTTTATATATTTCTATTAAAAAAAATTGTAAACAAATAGAAACATAAATTCAACACACACACACACAATTTATACATAACCTCTGTAAAATAATAATTTTTTAAAGGATTTTTCCTTGGAATTCTCATGGGTTCATGGCACAATGTTTTTTTTTTTTTAGCATTTGCGGGGCAAAAGTGTGAAAGATGCAGATTAAAAAACCATATCTGTATGCTGTGATCTAATATTGGGACATCTTATCACTTAAACTGTCCTTTTCTTCTTCTTCTCCTCCTCCTCCTCCTTCTTCATCCTTAAAATTGCATTTGGCAGCTTGTTTTGTTGTTTATTGCAATTTTAAGCATTTGCAAGGCAAAAGTGTGAAAGATGCAGATTGAAGAACCACATCTTTATGCTTGATCTAGTATTGGGACATCTTATCACTTGAATGGTCCTTTTCTTCGTCTTCTTATCCTCCTCCTCCTTCTTCATCCTTAAAAGTACGTTTGGCAGCTTGTTTTGTTTACAGCTAGGCTGCAATATATGCACATCCTTTTTTAGCAAACCTGAATTGGCCACATCTCACAAGAAGCCTGTTAAAGGCATCGGGTCTTTCTATGTTTCCATCCATGTTCTCCCTGTGTGGATTCCAGGGCTCTGTTTATGGGGGGGGGGGGGGGGGGGGGGTGGGGGGGGGGGGGAAAACCCAGTGCCCACTTACAAGCATGTCGTACAAGGCGAATAATTAGGTATGTTTCCTTCGAAGTCACAGGGCGTTTGCTTGACAGGTGAGGCACCAGCAGTCTGCATACAAACCAGCCAGATCTGTAAAATGGATGTACATGCAAAACTCAGGTTCTGGAACAAGACTAAAGTCCAGAAGCGGATGAACAACCAGAATTTTCTGCGGAAGTTTAGACTCTGTGAACACAAAGAAGAAGATAGTCCTAGCTCAGAACGTGTGATATGCCTACTGTTTTTTTAACGATGCGTTTGAAACAAGCCCACTTTCATGTTACAGGGAAGTATGATCATCCTCATACTGACAGTGCCAGAGTTTAACAATGTGTTTGAAACAAGCCCACTTTTATGTTACAGGGAAGTATGATCATCCTCATACTGACAGTGCCAGAGTTTAACAATGTGTTTGAAACAAGCCCACTTTCATGTTACAGGGAAGTATGATCATCCTCATACTGACAGTGCCAGAGTTTAACAATGTGTTTGAAACAAGCCCACTTTCATGTTACAGGGAAGTATGATCATCCTCATACTGACAGTGCCAGAGTTTAACAATGTGTTTGAAACAAGCCCACTTTCAAGTTACAGGGAAGTATGATCATCCTCATACTGACAGTGCCAGAGTTTAACAATGTGTTTGAAACAAGCCCACTTTCAAGTTACAGGGAAGTATGATCATCCTCATACTGACAGTGCCAGAGTTTAACAATGCGTTTGAAACAAGCCCACTTTCAAGTTACAGGGAAGTATGATCATCCTCATACTGACAGTGCCAGAGTTTAACAATGTGTTTGAAACAAGCCCACTTTTATGTTACAGGGAAGTATGATCATCCTCATACTGACAGTGCCAGAGTTTAACAATGTGTTTGAAACAAGCCCACTTTCATGTTACAGGGAAGTATGATCATCCTTATACTGACAGTGCCGGAGGAAATCAGCCGTCGAGACATCATCATTCTCTCCGTGGGAGGTGTTGTTACCGTGGCCTGGTTTATACTCGGATTTTTTTCAGTGAGTCTGTGGTGATTAGTTTCTCAACAATGCCATGTCTCAACAGTGTCATGTTTCAACAGTGCCATGTCTCAACATTTGAGTTGCTTACTCCCTGTATTTAGGTTCTGAGCTCCCCCATCACCCCCCAGCTTGTAGGGAAATTTGAAGGATGTTGCCTTCAGTGTTGGAGTACCTCTGCCTGAGAGGTAAGGAACCAATGTTCTGCATACAAGTAAGCCAGATCTGTAAAATGGATGTGCATGCATAACTCAAGTTCTGGAATAAGACTACAGTGCAAAAGTGGACGACAACCAGAACTTTTCACCAGAGTTTACAGCTGGTGAATGCTAAAAAAGAAGAAGAATTACCTAAGTAGTATGAAAAAACAATTTAACATGTAATGATAGGCATTCACAGAAAGAGGCAGAGGCAGGAGAACATCACTATACCAGTGTTCTTCAATCTTTTTACACCCATGGACGAGAAAAATGGAATTTTTCGCGGACCACCTGGAAAATAAACAAAAACAGGCAGCATTTTAATTTGTTAAATTCAGTTTTAATACAAAATGACAAGTTTCAGCTGAAGTAATATTCTGTGCTGCTTGGGGTGAGAAAATCTGATATGTTTGACAAAGTCTCACTCATTATGCAGCATTTTAGTGCTGGAATCATTTAACCGCTACATAATTAAGTAGAACATTTTGGCGGACACCCCAACATTTGCGTGGCCCACAAGTGGTCTGGTACCACAGGTTGAAAAACACTGCATTGGACAACGTAAAAATCTAAAGCTGTAGTTATCATACCAGGACTTGAACCTGTGTTTTTATTTACTTAAGCAGCATGTTGATTCAGAGACAACAGGAAATAATGGCATAGCTCTTGGAAGATGATGAAAGGGTTTGGTGCAGGGCTGTTCAACTGGCAGTCCATGGGCAAAATCTGGTTCGCAGAGGCCTAGCAAGCGGCCAGTGGATTACCTGCCAGTTGTATGGTATTAATGATCTTTCTGCGCTGGGGCTTGGACCTCTGGTCCACCTTGATCCCCATTTTCCAACATTTTAGTCCTTGAGTAAACTGAATTGAATGGCCCTGTGTTAGTCAGTGTAGCCACAGACATAGGATATTATTTGGAAACAATATTTTTCCTTTGTAAATTTAATGTGGACATGGGCTACATATTGCGCAGTTTATTGCCAGTCATATTTCACCGTGTCCGGTGCGTTACTACAGACATAAATCAACTTATAATGGAACATAAAAATGAAACCTTTCCTAGTGAACTAATTCTTCTTCTTCAAGTTCGCTGGCTGTACACTCTGGCGGAAAGTTCTGGTTGTTCGAACACCTCTGGACTTTAGTCTTGTTCCAGAACCTGACTGCTGCATGCACATCCATTCTACAGATGACTTACTTGTACGCAGATTGTTAGTTCCTCACCTCTCAGGCAGATGCATTCCGACTAAAGGAACCTCTTCGTCTACTAGACTTTTATGACATGCTTGTTGGGGAGGCAGTGGGTCTGTTCTTGTTTTCCCAACAGTGGGGCTGTGGAAACTAGACCCGGACTACTGAAATTCAATAGAATGTCCTGTACACCTAAATGTATAACTATGAATGTTTTATAGTCCATTCTTCTATCCATTGATCCTTTTATCAGTTTATTCTTAAAATCTTCCACAGACTGGACCCTTTTGCCCAGTGAATCTGAGAAACCAAAATGTCCGTTTGGGTCCAATTACCCCTAAGTGTCACTTTTCAGACTTTTTTTATGGTGACCTGCTTGTTAGACACAGGGTCATAACCTGTTTATTTTAGTATTCCCAGGGCAAAATGGTTAAGTGTAAATGACGACATATTACTACAGCAGCAGACTTCTGGTGGATCTGTACATCTTCAGATACAAAGATGCAAAAAATCAGTTCTTTATTAGTATTTCACTTCTTGGGTGGCTTAAGTGATGGATTTGTTAATTGTTTTGCGGGTTTCAGCTCCACCATTAATCCATATTTTTCTTGGTCTCCCCCCACCTTCTGTCCAGATATAATGCTTTTAAAGAAAAATGTGAAATGCAGTTTGGTCTGGCTGCATTCTCAGTAGATGATCGAAGCATTTCGTTCTTATTTCAACTTTCTCTCTAATGCTGATATTCATAACTCTGTCCCTTCTTGTGTTGTCAGTGACCTAATAAAGACACCACATGTTACAGGTCGTTACTGTAGCGTTGCCAGTTCGATATCTACAAGTCTTTCCTTTAATTAATTCTTTCTTGTGTTGTCAGTGACCTAATAAAGACACCACATGTTACAGGTCGTTACTGTAGCGTTGCCAGTTCGATATCTACAAGTCTTTCTTTTAATTAATTCTTTCTTTTGTTGTAGTGGTTGATTACACCACTGCCGGCTTGCTAGGCCAGTTGATTTCTGGGGCAAGATACTGCCTGTAATTACCACTTTATAGCTCTTTAGACTGAGGTTGAATGTCGCTACAAATGAAGGGAGTGATCATTGACAAAATCTTACTTGAAACCATTTTTTTATAATTGTGGAAAGATAATTTGCCAGCTTTTTTGTTATCCACTTTCAGATGCCCAAGGAGTCAAAAATTGGAGCTGCCATATTTTTTATATTTAGTCCAGTGGAGCTGGGATATGTTTTCTATAAGATATATGATGTAAGTCATGTTTTGAGGTCATGTGATATGCTTATTTTTTACGTTGCTGACTGCAATTTTGCTTTATTAAGTTTCCAGTTAGAAATCCAGAAGTCTGTGGTGTCTTCGCTATTCAGGTGTTAAACACACATATGTTGACGAGACACCAATTTAATGTTCTGTTACTTTATTGTGGTTCCGACAATAGTATCGTCTGGTGAGTGTCCTCTGCTGTCACTCATCGGGTTAGAATCAATTGTCAGTACAGTTACATTAAACACACACTGTGTTCAGAACATGGTTACCTTACATTCCGTGAGTTCCATTCATGAGGAGGACTTGCATCGCCCCCTCAGCACCACAAATCTTCACAGTCATTCAGGGTGTCGATTCAAGATATCCTCTGCTCGCTATTCATCCTTGGGTGTCAGGGACCTTTCCACGCTGTCAGCAGTCACACTTTATAGCAGTCATTCGTCTCGCAGACTGGACCATTCACTCCAGCTGTCAAACACCAGCTGACTGTATCCCCTTTCTCACCTTCAGACCTTTGTTCCCCTCCTAAAGGTTTTCACCAGCAATCATTCATCAACCACAGGAATTTGCACACGTCTCTTTCTCTCGTTTAACTGCTCCTTCACTCTAACTCGTCATATTAGGGAACCCTTTGGGATTCCTGGGAATTTCACCTCTCTACACTGACGCTTATTTTGTATGTTCAGTTATGTGGCTATTTTTGTGAAGTTGCTCAGAAAGTGAAGCCTCATAGTTTTCTCAACCCCTTAATAAATTTAATCTAATAAGATTTTTTTGTTGTTGCCAACTTAATGCTACATCGTTAAATTTATTGAGAAGCAAAGAATGAAATGGTTTGGTCACCTAATGAGAATGGAACCAACGATGCCAGCATCAAGAGCATACAACATGAAAATCGAAACACCAAGAGGCAGGGAAAGACCAAGAAGAAGATGGATTGAAGGAGTCACGGACAACTTGAGACTTCATAGCATCACGGCATATGAAGCGACTGAGCGCGCCCTGGCTCGGTTGCCGATCATCTGATAGACTGCCTAGCGGCACAAGCAGATTTTGACAAAAGAAAAGAAGAAGAAGAATGCTACAGGGTCAGATATGGACACTTACTAAAATTAATGAGTGCAAAATGATGCCAGTAGAGATTAGATGTCTTGGAAGAGCTGTCGGAGTAACAAGAAGAAAGACAATTACAAATGAAAAAATTTGAAGAAGAATATGACTGAAATGGGTCATACAGTTCATTAAAGGGCAAAAGATGAGATGGTTTGGTCATGTGATGAAAAAGCCATAGTACCTACTGTCTCAGAGAGCCACACTAAAAAAATATAATGAACATAGAGCAAATTGAAAACCGTGCACAATGTGGAATGATGACATCAAGAACAGTCTTTAAAAAATGAAGATCAACTTATGTAATGCGTAGAAAGCACACAAAATATCCTTACCTCTCCCTCCAAGAGTAGAAGAAAATAATAATAGATAGAGAAAAGATCAAAATGTCATGTAACCCGCACAAATGCTCCCTATGTCTTTAGTGAAATCACATCTTACCAACTACTCTTTCCTGCAGCTGTCTCATAGATTAAAAAAAATTGAAAGGTACTGCAGAGAAATGTGTGAGGATCTAACAAACTGATTTACATATTTATTAATCAACATAATAGCACAAGGATCTAACAAAACTAATTAGAAACAACATATTTAAGTGAGGAAAAAGAACCAAAGCCTTCACTGAATGAGACAGTCAGTAATAAAAAAAAAAAAAAGTAAAGTTCCCTTTTCACGCCTTTCGGCGCATCGGGCATATGGGCAGAGCGTCCCATATTTTTATGGACCATCAGCACTCTGTGGGTAATGTGGTCAGCAGTACACCGGCTGTCTTTACTTTCCCAGAACAGCCCATCCTGGTACCCATTTTAGGCTGGGTCGACCTGCGACGTCCCCATACCACGAACAAAAATCCGCGCAGCCAGCAGTGGGTTTCGATCGCGGTATGCTGGCTTACGAGTCGGACTCGCAACGCCTTAGCCACGGACGCCGCCAGTCAGTAATAGTCTTAAATAAAAGGGAAGTCACCAGGTTTAGATGAAATACCAGCAGAAGTATTCCAAGCAGGATGATAAGACAGTGTCCACGTCTGCTATGCCCTGTGCATGAAGATCTGGAGCAACGCCATGTGGCTTAAAACATGAAAGATCATATATATTCCTCTCCTGAAGAAAGGAAATTTGAAATTGTTCACCATCTATCGTACCATCGCATTAATAAATCACGCTAGCAAAATCTTTCTGACTTATCGTGAAGAGGATTGGAAGGAGATTTCACTTTGAACTTTGTGGAACAGGCGGGTTTCAGGCAGGGCAGATGAACTAGGGATCGCGTTTTGTGTTTGAGAATAGTTGTTGGAAAATGTAGAGAATTTAGTGTAAATCTGCATGCTAGTTTTATTGATTACAGCAAGGCTTCCAGTTGGGTTCAACATCTGAAATTTGAAATCTGAAATTTGTTCTTATTGAACAACAAATAACCATCAAAGTACCTGGAGAAACATTAAATTGGTTCAGTGTGCAAAAGTGAATGAGGCAACGGTGCATTCTGTCACCTTACTTTTTTTTTTCAGTATATTTAAAAGCATAATGAGAAGCATAAAAAATGAACTGACTTGTGACAGATATGATCCGCTTATAATTAGCGGCAACCCTGTTCTGGAACTTTGCTGTGCATACGACATAGTCCTTCTTTCAGTCAGTGCAAAGAGAATAAAACATGTAAACATGACTGTCCAAAAACACAATGAAGATCAAAACCAGTTCCTCAGTTAAGATGACATTATTTTTCTTGTTGTGAGAGTTAGTTGCTTTTCTTCTTGCAAAAGCCGGTTACTATTTCTTTTTGTGAGATTTCATTACTTTTCTTGTGAGCATAAGCTGCTTTTCTCCTTGCAAAAGCCAGTCTATTTCTTTTTGTGAGATTTCATTACTTTCCTTGTGAGCATAAGCTGCTTTTGCTCTTGCAAAAGCCAGTTACTGTTTCTTTTTGTGAGATTTCATTACTTTTCTTTGTGTTTCTTGTTGCGAACATCAGCTGCTTTTCTTCTTGCAAAAGCCAGTTACTGTTTCTTTTTGTGAGAACCAACTACTGTTTTCTGTTTCATTTTTTTGAAAGAGGTGCAGCTACTGTTTCTTAATCTATGAGTTATTCACTGTTTCGTGTTGTATGAGTTGTTCACTGTTTCTTTTTCCATAAACAGGCAGTTAACTACAAACATGACGCTGGCCATAAGGACAGTGATGGCGTAGTGGATTCCACTATTGCTTGTGGTGCTGGAGCTGTTGTTGTTCGCCTTGTTGTCATCCTTGCTGGTGTGATCGTGGTTAGAAAATTTGGGAATGGACTGAAGGAGAAGTGTAAGTTGTAATTTGTAAACACCGTTCAGATCGTAATCAATTGGGAGTAATTATCTTCTTGTTAAAATCAACAGGAAGATCAAGGAAATCTTTATTCATTCATTTATTAGATCAGTCAGTTTGAAGATGGTCTAAATTAATGAGATCATGCTCTTGCCTTTTCTGTCTCCTGTTTTCACCATTGGGCCATTCTGCCAGTAAACTGGTGTTGATGTCTTGTGCCGATGTCTGTGTTTTGTCAGTGAGTAAGTTTCTGTACCTAGGCCTGTGCGTGGGTGTGTGCGTATCTACGGCCTCACTTGCTTTTGTGCCTGGTGTGTGTCAGTGTTGTGTGTGTATTTGTGTGCATGTAAATTTGAAGGCATACATTTGCCATCCTTGCTATTTTATTCCTTTATCTTTTTTTTTTCCCCCCCTCTTACAGCATAAGACAATCCCAATCAGCACAGAGAGACATCTTATTCAAAGCATATTTATTCCAACTCTGTGCTACTAGTGCCAGACATGGTCACTCAAAACAAACCATAAAAGAAAATTATTAATCACGGAAATGAGATGTCTGAGAAGGGCTGTAGGAGTGACCATAAGAGATAAGATCAGGAATGAGATCATAAGAGAACAAGTCGGCACAGAACCAATTCTGGATTACATACAAAGACAGCAAGTGAAATGGTTTGCCTACTTAGAGAGAATGCCTTGTGACACCATACCATACAAAGCATACATGGAAAGAGAAGAAGGACGTAGAGCACGGGGTAGACCAAGAACAAGATGGAAGGATAACATCAGAGAAACTCTACAACAGCACGATGTGCCTATGGTCGAGGCAGCCAGAAGAGCTAGAAACAGAACCTTATATCTCCCTTGACACCCACAGCGGTAAAAGAGGAAGTGAAGAAGAAGAAGAAGATCTTTTTTTTTTAAATTGCACAATTTTGTTTTTTCAAATATGTGGGCAGTGAGACTATGATGTGGATACTCCTGACATAATGTTATGTGACTCCTTTGCAACATGATGCCACCAGCAAGGCACTCATAACTGTCAGGTCTTGAAGGTCTCCCCCTGTCCCCCTTGTTTTGGAAGGGCTGAACCTGTTCTCCCCCCCCCCCCCCCCCCCAATTTCCCACATACATTTTTTTAGGGGAGGGGCTGGTAAATGTTCCTGCTGACCATCTATCTCCTCATCGTCGATCAGCATGTCTTTTACAGAACATCAGTGTCATCACGGCACACCTCAAAGTCTTTCTTTCTCTAGGCCAAAGATTACTAAACTATACACTCCTGGGAGCCATGACTCTTCACAGGGGCGCTGCAAAATATTCGAAGATGCACCAGTTTTATTTTTTTTAAATCTCTCACATATAAATAGTCATACGTTTACTCATGTGAGGGCGCCGTGGAAACATTTTAATTGAAAAAAGGGGCCGCGACTAAGAACAGTTTGAGAAACACTGTTGTAGCCAGTTCTCCAGCCCTATATGCTTTCATAGCCAGTGCATCTTCAGTGTCCTGTGTCCACCTTCAGGGAGGTCAGCCTCTGCCTCATTTTTCTAGAAACTGCCCCTCCATCACAGTTTTCTCCCAGACCACCATGGGGCTTGACATGTCCAAAATAGCTCAGCTTTTGGGAGAGGGTGCTGTTTGCAGGCCAGTTCTCCTTGATGTTTAGATCTTGTGGCATGTATAGATGTTCTCTTTTTTAAGTATGTGTTTACACATTCCATATCTGTTTTAATATTTAATATTGATTGCCATTCAACACATATTAATTATTATTGTGCACTTAAACTTTTTCTTCATAACGTTTACCAGCTGCAAACTACGACGAAAAGTTGTGGTTGCTTGCCCGTCTCCAGACCTAAGTCTTGTTCCAGAGCCTGAGTGTTGTGTGCACATCAGTTCCACAGCTCTAGCTGCAGACTCTTGGTTCCTTACCTCTCAGTTAGATGTAGTCAGACTTCGAAGGATGCCCCCCCCTCCACCTATTTATTTAGCTAACGCCTAGGACATGCTTGTTAGGCAGGCAATGGGTCTGTTAATGGTTTCTCAACAATGAGGCCCCTGAACCAACATGGAAAGAAGCCCACTTAAGCAAGATTTAAGCACCTTGAGGCCCCGTCTCCTTTCCCTAGAAAATAAGGACAAATGTTTCTGTATGTGTCAGGGTGTTTATTAGCAGCATTACTGGCAAGGAACATGTAATTATGCACGAATTTTCTTTCTGAGCGACAGTGAACCAACAGTCTGAACAGAATAAGTCAGATCTGTGAGACGAATGTACACACAACTCTCAAGACCTGAAACAAGATCAAGGTAAAAACTCAAGATGACCTACCAAGGATTTCTGCCAAAGTACACATCTGGCAAATACAGAAGATTAAGAAGTAGAAGAACAATAAAATGATAAATGTCCATCATAAATTAAGTGTTCATTGAAGTTCCTTTATAAATACAGTTATGTTCTTTCCACGTGTTACCTATTTTAGTGTTATATTTTATATATATTCTGCTTATAGCAAACTCTTGTGTCTTTTTTCAGTACAAAGTTCAACCTCTTGAAACACACTGCTAAATTCTGAAGTCAAACAGACATATCTACATTCCAGCAGAACAGAATTATAGGATTTAATTAACTATCACTGATTGAAATATTTTGTCAAATTGCTGGGAAATTGAGTGAAATATCGGCCAGGTTTATTGACATTTGAAAGCTCTTCATTGCCAGATTGGGTTTGTAATTGAAATTTTGAAGTTACAGTTTTCTTTAGGAGGAGGGAGGAAAGACATTGCCATATGCAGATGTGTTGTATATATCTGATTGAGTGATAACTTTTCAAACACTGTTTTCATCTGTTATTCCCATATAGCATAAACAGTAATTCATTTGTTGATGTAGACCTTAGTGAATTGTCTGCACTGTGTGTGAGCACTCAACTCATATATACGTGTGAATGAAGGCGGGTGATATCTGCAGCAGTGAACCTTGGGGGGCTGGCAGTGCCGAAGAAAAATATAATTTTGATTAATGTTACTGTTACCAGTCATTGCTTTTGAGTTTCTTGCTTGTTATCATTAATGTAAATGAATTTATTAAAAGATGTGAATGTTTTTCTGTGCTGGGTGAAACACTGTTTGGTGTTTTTGTAAACAGTCGCTTCAAACTGATTTGAATGTTGAAAGGCAGATCATGCTTTCATTTCAGGTTGATGAAAAATTTACCTTAGAGCAAAACGAAACAAACATTTCTATTAAAGTCACTGCCTACGAATACTGCTTCTCATCATAAACAGTTGGACAATTTAAAGTATAAGTAGCTTTGGGGGAAACACTGTTTGGTGTTTTTGTAAACAGTCGCTTCAAACTGATTTGAATGATGAAAGACAGATCATGCTTTCATTTCAGGTTGATGAAAAATTTACCTTAGAGCAAAACGAAACAAACATTTCTATTAAAGTCACTGCCTATGAATACTGCTTCTCATCATAAACAGTTGGAAAATTTAAAGTATAAATAGCTTTGGGTGAAACGCTGTTTGGTGTTTTTGTAAACACTTGCTTCAAACTGATTTGAATGATGAAAGACAGGTCATGCTTTTATTTCAGGTTGATGGAAAATTTACCTAAGAGCAAAACGAAACAAACATTTCTATTTAAGTCACTGCCTATGAAAACTGCTTCTCATCATAAGCAGTTGGAAAATTTAAAGTATAAGTAGCTTTGGGAGCAATTTGGCTCATTGGCTAGCTTGCTCACCTGACAGCCTTTCGGTTAAGGGTTTGTTTTGTACAGGCATACATTTTTTTTAAAAGCTGGCCTAGGTTACCTAATATCAAGAAAGAATCTGGGAAGTAAAAGTGGCTGGTATGATGTTGACATCTCTTATCCAGTGACAACGATATATCCATAAAAAAATATAAGGCTGTAGTAAGTAAAGTAAAAGTAAAGATCTCTTTACATGCCTTTAGGCGCATCGGGCATATGGGAAGAGCACCCATATTTTTACAGACCAATCGGCACTCGGTGGGTAATGTGGTCAGCATTACGCCGGCCGTCTTTACTTTCCCAGGACAGCCCATCCTGGTACCCATTTGAGGCTGGGTCGACCTGCGACGTCCCATACCACGATAAAAATCCACGCAGCACACGCAGGTTTCGATCGCGGTACGTTGGATTACGAGTCAGACTCGCAACGCCTTAGCATGTGCTTCAAGCCGTAAAAGATTATTTAAAAAAAACCAAAGATAATTTACTTGTAACTCAGCTTTGTAGAATATAGATTAAACAGAGAATACTGCCATGGCAAACCTAGTTTGTTATGTTTGAGGAGGAAGACTTACGCAATTTTTTTATAAGAGGTACACCATGAAGTTGCGGATTTCTCTGGATTTTCTGACAGTATGCAAACCTGTACAAGTTGAATGAGTATATTAGTGTCTCTGAGCTGGTCAGGGCGGACAAAGGTCAGTTTTGTTTGTGTGCCAGGGTTTGCAGACGTAAAAGGAAATGAGCAAGCCAGAGGGCTTTCAGGTTAGGCTGCTGTGAGTTGCGGACAAGCCATGGACCAGGCTGATAAACTGAATGCTGTACAAGGAAATGAGCAAGCCAGAGGGATTTCAGGTAAGGCTGCTGTGAATTAAAGACAAGCCATGGACCAGGCTGATAAACTGAATGCTGTACAAGAAGTAGAACTTTTGCAAGAGCCAAGTGACTGAGTCTGCAATCATGACCAGACTACAAAAAAACAGCTAAGTTAAAAGGGGTGTAGCCAATGAAGAGCACTATGCCGGAAAAAAACAGAACTGGTTGATTTACTGAAGATGGGATCCGAGCACATATGAACCTAAAGGTTCGGTGTGCATTAAGAATAATCTGTCAACTAACAGTATGTGTGTTCTAAAGTTTATATATTTCATGTTGTTCTTTGTTTATGGGCTTTCAAATTCTGTTGTCTAGCAGCAGTTGTAAATATGCATCTGGTCTTATGATTGAAGAAATCTGGC